TGGGCCCCTCCCCTAGGTCCGCCACTGGGTTCTTTCTCTCAGCAAGTCCTAGTTTTTGAGTGAAAGCATCTGTGGAAAGCTTGTAGTTCAGAAGTGATTTTGTACATCTCTGCCATTTACTTGCATATTACTCACTCACTCACTCACTCACTCACTCACTCAGTTACTACGTGTGTTGGGTTGGTCAATGAAGCAAGCCACATTCTACTGTATGGTTTAGTAACCATGATTTAAAGTCATTCCACATGACATGAAATTGTTTTCAACAACAACTGCCAAGTTCACCCATAGTATCAAGGCCCTATCAATGATACTCATGTTGTCAACCACATACAAACACCGTGTTTATAATTTCCCATAACCAAACACCTCTCAATTTTGATTGCTTACAGTAGCTTATAAAGCATGTCATTCCATAGTTGCTAACAAGATGGTAGCAAGAACACTTGCTCCAGTGTGATGTATCCTTTCTCAGAGTGAAAAGCAAACAATTCTGAGGTCTTACTCCTTAAAATAAATTCCTGCAGCACAAGAACGCAAAGCACTAAGCTTAAAGCAACTGTATTTTCAGGGTTACAGGCATTCACAAGTCCCCAGATTCATTATAAGTACTTTAGCATGCGAAGAAATAACTTTGATTTTCCGTGTCTATGTGCTTAGCCCAAAATTTGGAATTCTTCAGACACAAAATAACAGTTTGGGTGCTACTAACGAATGTAGCTACATTATTTACTTGGAAATTTATGTTCTTGTTTGATGCTTAGAATTTTATTTTAATGTGTCCTTGTCACAGAATGTTCTTGATGAAATGCTGCTTCATGCATATGGTCTGTCTGCAAGACATCTGTTCTCAGATCCAGACAGTTCAGAGCATGGTAATTTTGGGTCATCAGCTGAACGCGATGCGTTTGACGATTTCAAAGAAGAATCCGAGGGATCGCCATTATCACTTATAATGAAAAAGAATGTAGTTCCATTTGTTTGCGCTCTAGAAGGACAATCGGCTTACTTTCTTGTGGAACCGTATTATCAACACAGCCTTCATAACATGGTAACTTTCAGCCCGTCTGTGTTGTCAGGCTCACACATCAGGCCTTTGTTTATGATTTACGAGCTTCTTCATGCTCTTCATTGGTACCACAGCCATGGAATTGCCCACGGTGCTTTAACCCTTCACAAGATTAAAGTCAGTAAAGGACTGTGGATTTATCTTGAGTCACCTGATTTTTTCCACACTTGCAGTTCGGACCTTTCATTATCTGGAGGTGAAGTCGGGTCGTGCGGTAAAGCTGCCACGAGGCCACAATTAGGCCTAAATGATTCACTGGCTTCTAAATACACTAGAGATGATTTGCCTAATCTTGTGGAGTTATGGGTGCATGGTAAAATTAGTAACTTTGATTACCTGATGGCTCTGAACTTCTTAGTTGGGCGTCGGCTCGGAGACCCAAATTATCATCCAGTGTTTCCATGGGTGACGGACTTCTCTGTCCGAGACGGAGGGTACAGAGACTTAAAGAAGTCCAAATTCCGCCTCAACAAGGGAGACAGGCAGCTTGATGTAACGTACAAAGCTGCGCTGTTGGACAGCCAGGAAGGCGCGCCTCCACATCACGTGTCGGACGTACTGTCTGATATTACGTATCACGTGTATCTGGCACGAAGAACTCCTAAATCAGTCCTTTGCGATCACGTGAGATCTAACTGGGTTGCCAATGAGTATCCATCCAGTATGGAGAGGTTGTACCACTGGACACCAGATGAATGCATTCCACAGTTCTTTTCTGATGCTTCTATCTTCGAGTCGGTTCATGACGACCTTCCTGATTTAGAACTACCATCATGGACGACAGCTGCAGAGGAGTTCATTCAATGGCATAGATCTGTTCTGGAAAGCGACGCAGTGTCTGCTGGTCTCCATCACTGGATTGATCTGACATTTGGGTACAAACTTGCTGGTAAGGCAGCGGTGAAAGCCAAGAATGTATACCTCCATCTCATTGACAAACATCAGTCCCTCAGCAATCACGGCGTCGTGCAGCTATTCACAGAGCCTCACCCAGAGAGAGCGCAACCTCGTTTGCCACACTCGAACACTTTGTTCCTTGGACGAGGAGACCATGAAATGGTAGATGGCAAGGTCATACGAAGCTTGGTCCGCCATAACAGCGAGCACACGGCAGAGAAGTCTTCCGCACTGGAGGATTCTGTCATGTCTGTTGAAAGTGTCAGCGAGAATGATTTTCTTCTTGGTCATCAGCCGAAAGAGAAACACAATGGAGAAGACCATAACAGCAAAGCAGCAGTAGTGCCAGGTAAAGAGGCTTTCAATGAGGAGGAGGTGTCGAGAGGCGCACAGTTTGAGGCAGTAATCGTCCCCACGAATTACAACCCGCTAGAGCTGCTGGAAAGGTTTGAAGCTCTTGAAAAGTTCAAGAACCAGTTTGGCCCTAGAAGTGTAGCAGGTGGAAGCAATGAAGAACGACAGGTTAGACTAGTGCACACTCTACAATATCTTTGAGCTGGCAACAATCTTAGCAAGTGTAAATAGTAGAAATCTTTTAGGAAGCAGTTTCTGTTTTCGTCAGACTCGTCATACTCTCTTTACTGATTTAGATACGTTTCTTTCAATGTTAGCGATGAGAATTAGGACGTACATCCATTGACGGTCTTCTTTATCTCATCACCTGTATCCTTAAAAACGATACGAAGAAATGTTGTTTAGATCACTCTTGGATTTTCGTGTCCACCGTCAAAGAGCGTAGAAGACATGTTAGAGATTCCTATTTTTCATGTCACTGTTTTTTTTCCTGTAGCAGCCTGCAGAGAAGAAAAATTTTGGTAAACTGGTTCAAGCTGACATGATTAGCCTCGGATGTGCGATAGTGGAGATGCTTATGCCTGGCAAAGTACAGCTATCAACGTGTGGTCTGACAGGAAAACAGAGGGAAACAGCCATTGTGAAACTTTGTGAAACAAACAGCAAACTTCTTCCCAGGTTTGTGAATCGAGCCGAAAACATTTTGTCACTAAAGCTAATTGCGACTGAGGATGCCGCGATATTTTACAACAGGATCGCTTTTGCTGTCATGTGGGCGTTCACACTGGTCGAACGCAAAAGTCTAACCTCGCTGCTTGTGATTTTTGAAGGTTTGGAAGAGCTCAACTAACAAAATCGATGAGAGGGTTCTAAGAAAACTTTTATACAAGAGCAGTGGCAAACCAAGTTATAAGCTGATAACTAGACGAACGATAGTCATTTAGTGAAATACTCTGTGCATAAACTTAACTTTTCAGGATTTTCTTAACCTTTAGTTAAAATTACGATATTTAGAGAGGAAGTCACATCAGCCTTGGCTGGTTTTCACGCTGGTCCTCTATACTCTGGAGTGCATGTCAGTTCAAAACGTCCGCTTGTCAAATACTGACGCAGAACATAGTTTACCCTAAGTATTGTCGAGTTGATAATCTAGGTTTTTTCTTTTAAAAAGCGTTTTTATTTATTTTCCGTTTTATAAGTACTGGCCAGAGTCAGTGTCAGATTTCAAACATGCCATTGACCTTATTGTTGTCTTTATTAGGTTTGCTCGAGCTGCTGTTCACGCTCTTTTCAAAGGCGATTGTTCTTCCGCTGAAGGTGACACAGGTTCCCATGATGGATGGCTACCTCCTCTGACAGCTGATCTGCTGCTGCAGCCTCATCTAGGCTTGTTCCCTTTTCCTTCATACTTCAGCGCTTTGCACGAGTTCCTGGCAGCTTTCTACCACTCCGTGAGAAAAGCGGATGGCAACGCTCAAAAATCGAAACCACAGGACAGTTTGACATTTCTGAGAAATGAAGTTGGTTACACTGTGGAGCAAGTGGACATAGCCGCGTCGTTTCTTCCTGATTTGCTTCCTATTGTAGATGATGAAGGCATCAAGCTACTTCTGTACCACTTGGAGCCGTTATTTACTTGTTTAGAGACGCGCCTCCACGCTTGTACGCAGCTGTTTGACATGCTAGCGCAAGCTCTTGGCCCAAAGAACACAGTGAAGACATTCTTGAAATGCCTGCTTAGCCTGTTCGACTCTTACGCCCTGGAAATGTACGAGGTTATCACGAAACAGACGTTTCTGTCTCAGATCATAGTTCGCTTTGGACTGGACGGATTTCTGAAACATTTTATCACCTTCGTTGTTGATGCTGTGGCATTCAAGGCCAAAATGGAGTCAAAAGCTGGGAGGGGGGATGGACTATCCATCCTCAGTGGAGAGGGAGTTACCTCAGAGATTCCTGTTCCAGAAACGGAGTACAATGCAAAAGATGTTGCACTGGACATGGACGATCTGGATTTGCCAGGCAGCTTCCTGAGAGAAGGATCCGAAGATCGAGACGTTCAAATTGGATTAATGAATATTGAAGATCTTGACACCCAAGGAGAATTCGCAGTGACCCGCCAAAATCTGGATCAAGTTGGAGATGACGAGATTGTCGAGCAAGTGACGCTCTTACCCAGAGGCATTATAGACGAGGAAGGGGATGGACGATTGTTCCAGGGACACATTTCAGATGGTGATGAAGATGATGTTCCTGTCGCTGATGAAATTGATGACGGAAGGCGGTCAAGCAAGGTTGCCGGCATGGACAACATCCGTGATGTAGTTACTCAACAACAAGGTGTTGGTGATACATCGCTTGACGGGGAAGACTGTTCTACTTCGACCACTGCTGGTGTAGGCAGTGGCGACGCCGACAATAATGACACTGTTGACGTTGACGACCAAGAGTTTCAGACAGGGAATGATCCCGCATCAGGTTCAATTCAGGAGAAACAAACGCCTGTAGAGTTTGAAGGCAACGATGGCAATGTTGTAGCAACGCACGTGCTGCCTAGCGAACAGGGAGATCTTGATGTGAGAAATGGAGACGTAGAATTGCAAGAGTTCGATGCATCAAGCGCGAAGGAAAACGACACCTTTGAATCGTTAACAGAGAAGACAGGACACGACATTGGAGTGAACATGTTGGCAAGAAATGTGATACGGCAAGAAAAGCCGAAAGACGAAGAAGAAGTGAGGGGTGAATTCAACGAGGAAGATGGTCAGGACGAAAATCCAGACGAGCTCACTGAAGATGATAATGAGGAAATTGAAGAAGCAGAGGGCAGTGGAGAAGACGGCCTTGAACAGATACGCTTACCGGTCGAGGAGAATCTGGCCTTTGAAGAAGACGGGGAAGATTATTCTGGCGACGATGATCCACAAAGCAATGTGATTTTAGATCCAGAAGACGAAGAGGTTACAAAGGACCAACCGTCCGCCTATCAAATAAAAACATTCTATAATTCCCATAAATCTAAAATTATTCAGCAGGAAAATAAGGCCCAAAAACAACACGACGAGCTGACACCTGGAACCATATCAGGCATCGCAGCGGAGAGCATCGTGTGGCTGGCCCCTCGTCTGGGACCTGTCCTCACATCCAAGTACATTGCCAGTCAGTTGTTGACCATGTTACCGCACTGCTACATGGGATACGTGGGGTCGAATGACGATGATGATGATGCCAAAACGGTCAACGATAGGAATGCCAAGTGGTTATTGTACTGTTTGAGTAATTTCTGTACGCTTTATGGAGAAGCATTCATGTTGAATCAATACCTGCCTTATATCAATAAAATGGTGAGTCGCTAAATACTTGAAGGTGAAGAATCGTTTCGTATGATGATCGCTATAGTTAGTACCTAATGGTATCATTAGGGAGTGCCTGCAAGCCACGACGAGAGATCGTTCGGTCGATACGGCAAGGCCGAGGTTTGAGATTTTCCAGTGAAGACCTCACTCGCGGTTAATAAGTAGTTAGTGATGGTATCATTAGGACGTGCCCGCAAGCCACGACGAGGACGGCAACAACAAAACAGAGACGCGAAAACAATATCTGTGCACGAACGCTATGATATCCTGGTATATTATCTTGGTGCAGTCGTCCTGTGCCAAAAAAACAATGTGAAATTACCAAATTGTGTGCGTGCTTCATCCACGACTGGGAACTATCTATATTCTAATTGGAACTGCACGATATCCCTGTATTTTTAAACTAACTGAATAGATCAGCAGCTCTCTCGCCGTCGCCATCGTGATGAGATTTGTGACAGCATGCTACAGCGCATCTCTGTTTTGCTTGGTTCCAAAGATTTAGTTCGTTACATCCGGTTTTCGTTGTAGCCGTTCTTCGTTATTCCCGTAATTTAGATTTAACAGTCATCGATTAAGAGATTGATAATTCAAAGCCTTGGTTATGAGACACAGATTTTGTTCGTCAACATATTTTTTTTTTAATCTCTTTAGATCAGAGGAGTACAAACCAAGGTGACACAAAGAGGAGAAGCTGCCCTTGCCGGGGTCCTGTCGCTTCTTAAGTACTGCATTCCTTATCTATCTCGCGACACTCTGTCCAGCTACACTGAATCTCAACTCATGACTGGTGTCTTTCAGCCAGTCATCCGTATCCTGTCATCCTACACCCTGACATTCCCAGGCGGTGTAACAGCACGCCAGGCAATCTGTCGGAGCTACATAGATGTTCTAACAGTAGTGTGTTTAAAACTTGAAAGGGAGCTCGCCCGAGAGAACATGACCGCTCCTTTGCAGCAATTTTTCTCGTGTTTTGAGCTGGAGCGCATGAGAACGATTACGATGAATCAGATTGAAGGGAAATCGTTGCCTGTGGAGCGCAAAGCAGCCTTTGGTGATAGAGAGGAATTCAAAGGAGCTACAGAGGGGAGGGATGAGATGGACACGTCAGGTGAGTGTATATAGCGTGATTTGTTAGTATGAATGGTAACCGCTGACCTCTTCATTGCGGATAAGGTTCCTGATTCTTGCAAGTAATGGGAAGAGAAAAGAATGTGTGTCTGAGCCAAATCAGAAGGGGGAAAAAGTACCATCCGTCATCTGAGGAAGAGAGTTACAGCTAGTGAAAATGAAATCAAATCACACTCTGAAAAAGCAGATGAACCACAAAAACATGGGAATTCCTCACTTCTTTCACTTTTGTTTCAGAATACATTGCTGACCGCACTAAACTTGCATTTATAATATTTTCCTTTTTTAGGCGTGGAGGAAAACGACGGCGCTAACGAGACTCAAGATGACTTGTACAACACACCGGTTTATGAGGAATTATGCCAGACATTCTCTGCTGCGATAGCTCATCACGCTTTTGTTCCCCTGTGCGGCATCATGGGAAGCAAATACATGGAGAGCTCGCTGCATAATCACGACCTCATCTGGAACTTGTGCTGCAGTCATGATGTCCAGCTGTCTCACCCCACTTGTGAAGATACCAGGGCATCCGAGGACGAGGAGGAAGGAGAGGAGAATGGTAACCACATGGCTGGTGTTGAAGTATCTGAAGTGGACTCTTCTCCTGCGGTTGGCTCACGTGGTTTGGATAACACTGCTGATGAACGAATACAGGAAAAGAAAGGAGGCAAAGAAGGAGGAAAGATCAGGAAAAAGCCTAAGCCACCCATGTGGTTTATAGGCAGAAGACTTTCCAAAGCAAAGGACGTGCCAACTAACTTGTAAGTTCTGTTAAAAGAGAAAATGCCACAGATAATTGCAAGATGTGTCATATCTGCTGGTTAGATTGATTTTCATTTGCGTGTCGAATACTGGTTGGTTTTGCACTTACTACGTTACGCGATTGGCTTTTTTCATCCAATCAGAAGTAAAACCAAAACCAATCGTACCTCGCTCGCACGCGTTTTCCCGCGCTTTGCGTCAGCTACATGTAATTCCTTTGAGTCTGATTGGCTCGCTGTATTGTCTGTGTCCTTTGTGATTGGTTAGATTGGTTTTGGTTTTACGACACTCAAATGAAAATCGTTCGGAGTTTACTGTTAATGGGGTTTACTATTAATAGAAAACCAGAACTGGGAAAGTAATTTTTTAACGACAAAACAAAACGGTCATAAACCTCCAAAAGTTAGGTTTCAAAAAACCAAAAATTTTCCTTTCAAGGGTAGCATTCACACAATCTTGTCTTGTCAGGAAACAGAAATCCACGAAAGAACTATTCAGATTCGTGGCTTCTTACTGTAATCTATTACTTAAGTTTCAAATGCGTGTCTTCTAACGCTGTTATAATTGAATGTAGGAACTGATTTTTGGGACATAAACCTGATGATCTCTTGCCGCATTTTTTAAACTGAGCATACTTTTAAAAAAACTGATACAGGTGCGCTAATTTGTTACTAATTAGCCACAGCGTAATCTCTCCTTCACCTTGCTTCATTCACTAGTTAGATTACAGAACCCGAAGATTTGTACTTATGAACGCTGGAGTACACCGGGTCTTCCCAATGTACTTTATGTGCAGTCAAGGTCGGAAAAAACGTTAAAGATGTTTTCTTAGCTTAATAATCATTTCTTGCTATACATGTAACCTATCACTGTAATTTTAAACCAATTTCGTTAGACCCACCCAAGGTCCGTTTGCCTTTCGATATCGTAAACCATTTGATCTCTAGTAGTTTTACCGTCGTGTGACTGAACTCCTGTAACCTGGATCTCAGCCATAAAGGAATTTCTTCTTTCTGGCGAGTACCTTCAGTTTAAGAAGCTAGTTAGCCTTACCCTGCAAGATTCCCTTTTCTTTGTACTCGGTGAGAGACGAGCTGAAAGATAAGGGAATCTCTGTCTGCAAACGTCGTAGAATACTTTACAGTCCTCTAGCTTGCTGCGCCGACCTAGTTTTCCAGTTCAGCTTCTTTGCCCGGTGTCAAATCATTTGCAATTCTTATTCTTTTGACAGGCCCTCGTCTTCCTCCTCGGACCAATATCTCCGTGGTAGCTGGCTTACTCACTGGGAAAACCAACTCAGTACGTATAATTATTCGTAATTTAAACGTAAGCGCGCGCTTAAATTGGTTGATATCACATGCTTGGGCGAGTTTAGAAGAATGAGAAAGATTGTGTGAACCCGATGCGCACACGAAAATATGTTCACATTTCAAAATTTTACACCAATGCTACTTTGTTTAATTTAGGTGTCAAGGGCAAGGTAGGAAACAAGTTCAGTCTTCAACAAGTCAAACTGCAGACATTTACTGGTAAGTTTCCCGTGAATAGCTGCTTATCGTCTTGAACAAGTCATGTCATATTACAACTGAAAGTGACCCTTTACATTTAATTGAAGAAGTACCCCAAGAAAATCCATAAAATAATTGTACACGGGAGTCGAACTCATGTTTTTGTTTTGTTCTTTTTCTCGGCAGCAGATTGCAGAGATCCCTTTTATTGAGATCGTTTTCCCACTGTTTATTATTTGTTGTAATTGTATATGACCACATTGTTGTATTTTTCCGTCCTCTCCCGTTTTTATTCCCTCAAGTCCCGTCCACACCATGCTAAAAGGATTTGGAAACGCAACTTTATTTCTACGGTTAGGCCTACCATATGGGAGGCGCGGTGGCCTCATGGTTAGTGCGCTCGTCTCCGGATCGAGCGGTCCGGGTTCGAGCCCTGGCCGAGGACATTGTGTTGTGTTCTTGGGNAAATACTCCCAGTCGCTTCATGCTACAGAAACCGGGATAAGCTCCGGCCTGATGGGCCACTTGGCTCGCATGCAGACTTTACCTTACCTTAGGCCTACCATCCACGCTAATCCGTTACGAAAACGGAGCTCTTCGAAAGCGCTGTTCAAACCCGAGGAATTTGAAAACGCCGGCTTTGCGGTTTAGTGTGCGAACAAAAACGGGGCTTTTCGAAAACGATGACATCGCGATAATAATATGATTTCTCTGGCCGAGTTTACCTTAAATACAAATCCTAAATGACCGGTTTCTGTTGCGTTTTCAAATTCCTCCGACGTAGTGTGAACGAAAAACATTTGATGTGTTCTCGGAGTGAAATCTCCGTCTTCAAATTCCTCTGGTGTGTTGTGGACAGGCCTTGCACCATTCTGAAAATGCAGACGAAGGCGCTAATTTATATCAAATTTTGCCCAATATTGATAGCCGTTTTGTTGGAGTATAAACTATATCCACACCATTGAGCATGGGTTCAGGTTAACACTCGCACAATTTGTTGTTGTGCAGGTCACAGTGGTCCAGTCCGTTCAGTGTATGTACAGGACAGTGAACACTGTTTCCTGTCAGCCAGCAAAGACAAAACTGTCAAGTTGTGGTCACTAAGCAACCATGGTGATGGCACCGCTCAGTCGGCAAGCTCGTGGACATATTACCGTCACACGCGACCCGTGTTCCACGTGGGTATGGTGGAGTCCGTGCGGCAAAGCGTGTCATGTGACGGCAGCCTTCATGTATGTTATCATTATGTGTCGTCATGGCGCAGTTATTTATGTAAATCCATACATCGGTTAAGGTAGAAACTCTTTAAACCCGATATATCTCAGCTTGTCGCAGAGGGTGGACGGTGTGTGTATGTGAGAGAGAAGATCATATGTCATATACCTAAACATTTTTCGTCGAGAAATAGAAAGCATGTACCGTGTTTCTGTCGAGTTTTAGCATAAATCTACTCGCGTTCCATCACGAATGGCGTTCTCTGTTTGGCTAGGCTACTCACTATCTATTGCGCTGTAGATTGTGAGTAACCTAGCAGTGAGCGCTTGTTAACAAATTGGCGGCCGCTTCTTGGCGTTTTCGAAGTGTCTGTGAAGAGAATTTAGATAAAGTTTTGAACGACTAGTAGATTTATACTAAAACAATTACATTATTCGCTCTCAATTTCTATGCGTGATAGTTGACGAGGGCTGCGCCCTCGTCAGCTATCACGCAATAGAAATCTCGAGCTCATAATCTAATTGTTTAGTAGAAACACGATTTGAAGCCAATCAGCGCGCGGTTTTTCTTTGGGCTATTTTCTAATTTCTTTTGTTTCTTATCTCTTTCACAGCTGCCTTTTTTTTTCTTATTCTTCACCTTCTGTCCCTCCTCTGCCCTTATCAACCAGTTTAATAGTAATTAACTTCACTTGCCGCGCTTAAGTCTTTCTTTGAACAGTATCATCGCCGTTCACCTCATTCAAGATCAATTCTTGTTTCAGTTATGGGACGCAGTCTCTGGTAGTTGTCTCGGAGTCTTTGACCAGGCAAGGAACAACCCCATAGCTGCTATGGCAACACTACCAGCGCCGAGTCAATGCGTGGTGGCAGCCATGGCTGAAGGAACTGCCAGGTAAGGATAAGAGAAAAGTACGGAATGGAGGTGACCTGAGACCCGTTTCTCGAAGGTTCCGAAACGTTTTCGCACACGGAAAGCCACAGCTGGCGATGTGACTTGTAATCAGTTATCTCTTAAACACGCTTTAAATTTCCTGGTCTGTTACCTGGTTGTGGTTTGATTCAAAATGTTTAGATTTGTTGAGATTCGGTTCTTCTCATTTCTTAATTTGTCATGCCAGATTCCTTGACGTTCGTCAGCATAGTTTTGTTATGGAGTGGAAAGTTACGACCAGTAGTGTACCAGGTATGTTATTTAGTGTCACTCTCTTCTATTATGATCTCATAGAAATACTTGAGATTGCATAAGTATTTCGCTCTAAAATTGAGTAATTTGTTGCTAGATAAGCCTAGGCAACACAACATTTCACGTTGAAGAACTCGTTTGAAGTTAAGTGACCAACATTAATCAAAATGGAATTTACATTTGTTTACTTCTCAGGTACTTTTTGGGATGCTAAAATTTGTCAGGAGATTGCGTGACTCACATAACGGTGTTTTTTGAGGAAGTCTTGCGTGTCTTCAGCTTTAATAATCTGACTTGTTCCTAACTGGGGGATCCCCGAACAGACAGGAAGATTATCTTCAAATCTTTGACACTTTTACGTCTACAAATGTATTCAAAACACTTTATTTTCTCTGCTTGACTTCTCAGGCACAGTGCGTGACGTTTGTTGTAGTCCTGATGGACGATGGATCGCTTTTGGTTTCTCAACCGGCCTTGCTTCTGTGCTGGATATTCGGGGTGGACTGCTTCGTAGTCAGAGGCGGGCTCATACAGGCGACATCTTTCAGGTATAACAAGTCTAACAGGTGATGCTGTGTCCTTTCCTGTTCTAAGGTCCTTCCCTATGACCGCAATCCTATTTTAGCTCTTTTCCTTTCTACTTAGCTTTCCTCCCCTTTCTAAGATGTGAGCCAGATTATTTTCTGCATAGGAAAACGATTAATTGGAAGATATTGTGTTTGTTTTAAGATCTTTTAAAGCTATTCGATAAAATTTTGTTGAAAACTGTCCTTGAAATGAACATCCACTACACTTATTTTCATACATGTTAGCTGAATTTTGATTTGATTAAGCTTCTCTCCACCAAAAATGCGTTAAAAGCTTGCTCATTACGGTTACCGCCCTCGAGAAATCACAAGAGACTTTGCTCGCGGGCTCGAGTTTGTTCACAGCCTCTTGATAGCTCCATTTTTGTTCTGGTTCCACTCAGTTTTCACAGAAATGATTTCATTTCATGACAAAATGCTGCTAACTCTAGAAATGTTATCGGTAGACCTCGTAGATTCTCAGGCTGGTCAGTTAATCAAAAAAGCTCAGAAAATCTATGGTACATATTGAGCTTTTTTCTTGCAGGTCAAAGCCTTTTCAAGCACGTCTTTTATAACATCTTCTGTTGATTCGGGATTGTCGTTGTGGAAAGATGACGGGGTACGCCTGAAGGCAGTTAAAGGTAAACACTTAGTGAGCCTTAACACTGATGTAGAGATCGTAATCTTCAAACAAAGACACCATCCTTTGTTCATCTTGCGCTTGAGCATTTTTTGCCTTTTAAGACACTTTAAATACTCTCACAAGTTCCTCTCTCCACCAACGCGTTAAAAGGGATAGTAACTACCACCACCATCTACGGGAATATTGAGCAGTAACTAAGTAATTGCAAAAATACAGCCTGGAAAAAAATACAGGCTTAAACGGGATTCAAACCCAATCCTCTGTGATACTGATGCAGTGCTCTACCATCTGGAAGCTGGGCACGTTGCGAGTTGGTAATAAACCCCTATCTGATAATGAGACGCAATGAAATCATATTTCCATGAAATAGACATTTCAGTGAAACTCATTTCAAGTGAAAGAGGTGTGCATCGGCGTATTGAGGGAAGTCGGTAGTGACCCATTGAATTAATGAACTGTCTTGAGGTGGGTTTACAAGTGGTATAATTGCTTGTTATTTGGCAGGTCCTAGCGACCCTCTCCCCTCCCTACTGGTGTGGCGTGACCAGGTGATCTCCGCCAGTATCAGCGGCAGGATTGGTGTTCACAACTTACAAGAGGATCTATCGGAGGTGAGTTTGTAAGTTATTTTTTATAGCAGAGCTTGGCCCTTCTTGTCAACCTTAACAGCCACTACTCGCGTACTGATCTCTCTCCCGGGACGTCTGATCGGTGACAATGGGAAATGTCACGTTTAGGTTGTCACACAACGCTATTGACTTTGTGTATTACGCAATGATGAAAACGTTGTGTGACGTCACAAGTAACGGTTGCGATCAAGAGTACCATTCTTGTGTCTTATTGGACAGTTCCGTTTGGAGCACTCGAATGCTTAGTATACATAGATTGTTATTCATTTCGGCGTTCAGGCCATTTGCGAGTTGCTTTTTGTCCCCTGAGGGGGACCATGGAGGTGTTCTTCATACCTTTTAGGGGTTAAAAAACGGTTTTGTTTACCTCATGGGTGTTCAGCCTCAAAAGGTCCACAGCGGTAGCTTTCGCGGTACTTTTAAGGCATTGACCGCCAAAAACATACGACAGGAGATATTTGACAATCAACTAATTTATAGTTCTGTCTCAGCTTACACAGCTTATTTTTTTGCTTTTCGCACAGGATCCTTACGTTAGTTACAAGTTGAGCAGTGACGTGTTCCGCGGTGGTATCACGTGTCTCGGTTACCTGCCACTCAATCGACTGCTTTTGATTGGTAGCGACACAGGCAACATTGTTCTCTGTTCCTAAGCAACGGTTGCCTCGGCAACAAAACCTTTTTTGTGATATACAGATTTGATTCTTTCGTACAACTGTTTCTTAAAAAGAAAGTTAATCAGAAATATAGACACATAGCAAATGAAATTAATTTTCACACCATCTGTACGCGCTATACTTCATGGAAAATTTATTAACTAAGCAAAAATCAAACAGCATCACAAATTTTTACATTGGTTTTCCACTATCGCTAAAATAAACTTGTATACTCATTCTTAAGATATGAATTTGCTTTCCTCGTGCAGTTATTTCCAAACAAAGAAACTTCTCGAGAAATAAAAAGTTATCCATATCGACTGGAGCAAGTCAATTCTAAATTGTGGAAGGTTTTTTTCTGTTTGAATATTTTTTTTTTCGTTTAGATTACATCAAACATATGTGTTTGTGAAAGTCCAAGTACGGGGTCGTGCTGGATTTTACTTATCTCGTTTTGTGACGTTTGATGCCTGACCCCTGAAAGGATATTTCAAGAGTAGACTATGCAGTATAGTAAGTCATTCATTTTAATAAAATGTCTGCTCCATTTTCAAGGGAACTATCTTGAAGTGAACGTACTTAAACATCTATTCTTTTCTTTGTACAAAGATAAAATGTATTCACCGAATGAAATGTTTTTTTATTTTAAGACCTGTAAGAAAAATCAATGGATCAATCGGAAAAAGAAAGACAAATTTAATATAAATTTACAAAATTGAAGTTTATAGAGCATTGTAATAAAATAACTCAAAGCAGTATTAAACGGTAGATATAATTTTATGAAAGATGTGTTTTTAGTTTTTAGTACAATTTTCTTGATTATGCACCAAGAAGAAGAGGTCTGGGTCGAGAATGTATCGCTAGCCTTTTGAAGGAGACTAATGGGAGGTGCGTACATGAATACGTTGTTAGTAACCACCAACAGTAGAGCTCGTTTCTTATGCATACCAGAAATCGATCTCTGAAAAGCTAAATGTTGCTGGCCAACAAGCTGGCACAAGCCATACCATTATTCAGGCCAAATGATCGAAATCTTTACCCCGATTCAGACCAGAACGATTTATGTAGCTTATATTCACTCTCTTCTCAGCCGGATCTCCTGCTTTGCGGTCGATTTTTGACGTCAGACAGATGAAATCTCCTACTATATACTCAGTTTGTGAAGAAAAAGCGATCTTAGTAAACCCTGTACGTAGAAGGATTTCACAGCCGCTGCGTGCCTGAACAACTGAAATTATTCTGATACTTTGGCTGTTACTGCTATGGAAACACCTTGCTAGTGACACCGGATTTCAGTCATACTTGGGTTTTTAGAGTTTTTAAATTTTCATAGCCTCCTGAAATCTCGGCCTAAAATAGCTGGATTGCTAATAGCAGGAAGGTAATCAATCAATAAACAAGAAAATGATTAATAACAAAAGAACGTCTCGTGAACAATTGCACTATATTGCTAGTTCTATGGTAATGCAAAATTGATCATTTCTTAGCTACTTCGTCTTGCATCATGGTTTCTCTATATAAGTTTTAGTATCGTTTCCACTTCAGTGCACTTTGAATGTCCGTTCAAGCTAAAAATAAATTTAAGTGGGAAGTGACGTCAATAATGGAAAGAAGGGCAAGTAAGCAAAGCTGAAGGAAGTGAATAATTGTCATACCAGTGAAGGGAAGTGGTTAGATCCCAGCCATTATACCAGAAGTAGTTCTCAACAAATTAACATAGTACTCTTGCTCAGAGTTAAAAAAAAAAAGGGTTAAACGGCATGGAGTCAGGTACTTAAATCCGCCGGAGCTTAAGCCGGTTTCTCCCGTTTAGCATCAAGTGACCAACTAGGAGTGTCACTACTCCCTCAGGGCTACTCTTTCGCCCCTCACAAGTATTGGATTTACAGGTAACCCCAATTTATACTCTTGGCCACTCTTGGGTTAGTTGAAGAGAGGCACTGAGGGTGATGACGTCAGTTTGAAAGTAAACTGAACTATTCTTTTTCCGTGTCGTTATAAGAGCTCCTTCTGTTTAAGTACCCCCTGTCCAATCTCGGAAGTAACAGTGAAGATGTTCAATTAGGTAGTCTGCATTCTTATGTTAGAGTAATATTGAACATATTGTCTTTGGATAAGCACTAGCATGATAAGAATGGAGTCATTACTCAGAAAACGCCTAGTTCTTGAATTCTACTATCTATCGTTGTTCATCAAAAAGCTTTTTCGCATCTGATGTTTATGCCAAAAAATAAAGAAAATAAGTGCCCTCTCTCAGCTACTGAAAGTAAATAAGTGCCCTGGGAACCAAATTATCCAGTCACCGTACAAGAGGGGATGAATTATCTGCACACCACAGAGATCAAAAGTGCGCGCCTTATTAATTGTTCTTCATGGATTTGCGTTTCAGAGAAGTAACTCTATGTGAAGATGAGCGAGTGATGCGAGGAATGAGCGAGAGGCCCTCCAACGTGTGCCACCTCCCCGCCCCTCCCCCTGACAAGAAATAAAAACTTCCGCGTTATATCTTTGCCTCTTCAGTTACAACCATCGAGGACTCCGGGACGATATTGCTACACTGCAATCTACACGAATAATCACAACGCTATTTCCGGTTTTTATCACCTTTAACTTGATTAAATTTGAAGCGTTATGTGCGATACGTCTGTAGGAAAATTTGAATTAAAAAAAAAAAAAATTCACTAACAGTTTTATATTTCAGAAACTCCATTGTATGTGACTCATAGCCTTAATTTACCAAATAGTTGCCGTTCAATCTAGAAATGCTTCTCGGGTACAGTAATACTTCATCTAAAATATAAATCTTTTTGGATTGAAAATCTACTGACTAACGAACTGTCGCTAAGCAACAAGACTACTGAGTTAGAGGATGAAGAAAACAGGCAAGTAAAAGGCTTGTCACCGTTTGCGTTAACTTCCCCTGCAGTTTACTCTCTTAAATGGTTGATGACCTCTCTTTTAATTCTTTTCATGGATCACTCAGTCCTTTCCTAATTTTCTGCATTTATTAATAAAAAAAGTAAACAGAAAAAATCTGTACCGTGAGAAGTTACAAATATTTCGCTTTTTCTGCTCTCGTGCCACCGAAGTTTTCTTCTGGACGGGCAAGACCAATGTGGATTATTTCCAAGGCCTACTCTTCCACAAAGAACGATATCAGCTGCAAACGTTTTAACCAATGAATTAGTTTTGTTGAACCGAGAGTGTTCATCTGATCTAAATTTCCCTTATGTAGCTTCTTTTATTGCTGATAGTTGTAAATTATTATCGTCTCAAAATAACGATGTCTTCTAAAACGCATGGTCTGTATTGCGGGTTATCTCAAAATGAGCACGGTGACCCCCGTTTTCTTTTTTTTTGTTTTTTGCTTTTTTGGCAAAAGTTGATGTTTACATTATACTACCACGGCATGGCAAATTTAAAAAAAAATCTGTATACGTGAGAATATTTTGGTCGCGTCCTTATCCACTTTCCCTGTTGTGTATGTGTTTGAGGTTTTTTTCATTACCTGCCTTACGGGGCAACTTACATTTGTCGGAAGAATCTAGATCAAGAAAATTAATGTAACAAAAGGAAGGATGGGAGGTTTAAGTTTCAGTTAATTAGCTTCAAATTTGGCTGGGGATCTTTTTATAATTGAATTCCGAGAACTTCAAGTTTCTTTATTTCGATACACAACAAAATACGGATAAACAGAGATTTGAAAAATGTGGAGGTTTGTGAACGAGAACCTGCTGAGTCGAAAAGAGTTCATACACCTAATCTAATATTTAGCAGAAAATATTTTGGTTAAATTTAGCCCATTCAACTGGCGAACAGACATCTACCGAAGCTAGTTTCGTGGAAAAACAAGAAGTTAGATAAATTAAAGTAAATGGATAAAAAACATTAAAAAGACTCGACAGAAAACATTCAAAGTTGAGGCAGAGATTATTAGCCAGTACAAAAGGTACATAGTGATTTATGAACTTCTTGCAGAACTGTCTTATCCCTAGCTCTTTGAACCGCTTTCTCCTTTCTTACGTAACATTACGTTCAGATCGCATGTCGTAAACATTTGATATTGCATACCATAGTAAGTTCTGTCACGAACTCAAATACGTCACGGGTCATGCCATTTCCTTATGTGTTTAGACTTTGACGTCACTCCTTATGTACGTCACAGGTTAAATGAAGTTCTAATGATTGCGAAACACGACGAAGTATGCTCAAAATGTTAATAACTGCATCTTTTTCAGTTGTCTTTTTCCGGTGTCGAACATCATAAATGACATGGCTGTCTATATTCTCCTGGTATTTGCATTGAGCGCGTTTTTTTTTTTTTTTTT